TAATTTATAACATTTTTTTTTTTTTTTTTTTTTTTTGAATGAAATTTACATTTTGACAAATTAGATATACAGATCTGTGTTAGAGGTGTATATAAATTCTAAGTTATTGTTTCTCAGCCTGGCCACATGCAGATGTTGACATTGACAGTTACACGAGAAAGGTGAGTTTTGTCCTCACCACACAACATACGACAGGATTGGATGAGAGAGATGTTGCCATCCAAGAGTAGTGAGAAACATACAAAATGGAATTTGTTGAGATACACAGGCACAAAAGCTTTGGTAGTTGAGTGATTAGTAGCCAGTAAGCTCGGCGAATGTTTGGTCCAACTCGTCTGAGATTGCTTTGTATTTCTCCTTTTCTTGGACCAGTTCGTCCTCAAGCCTGTCAACCTCCTTCTGCAATTTCTGGACGGACCTTTCAGCAAATTCAGCCCTAGCCTCAGCCTCCTTCAGCCTGGATGTCATAGTGCGGATTTGGGTTTCAAAAGCCTCCTCTCGCTGCTGGTTCTTCTCTTCAGAGACTTCCAGAGATTTCAGATTGTTACCCACAACTCTCAACTCTTCCTCAAGCTCTACAATTTTGGTCTCACCAGTCTCGGCACGCTCTTCAGCACGTTCCAGATCAGCTTCAACCATGGCCATCTTACGAGCAACCTCATCATATTTGCGGTCAGCTTCCTCAGCCATCAACCTGGCTTCCTTAAGCTGGTCCTCCAGGGCTTCCATACGCTCCTCATCTGAGATGCTCCTGTGCTCAAGCATCTTACGCATACGTTCACTCTCATCAGCACTATGGGTAGCTTCTTCTAGCCTGGCGGTGGCGATCTTCAAACGTTCCTCAGATCGTTCCAAGTCTTCTTCAATCAGCTGGATACGCCTGTTCAGGGCAGCAACTTCACCTTCAGCGTTGGCCAGAGCTTTGTCCTTCTCTTCCAATTTGTTGTTAGCCTGGGCCAGTTGTTCTTGAACCTGGTCAAGATCATTCTCAATCTGTTGGATCTTTTTCTGCAGGGCACGGACTTCCTCTTCTGCCTTGTCGGCCCTGAGGTTGGCATCTCGGGCCTGGTTTTCTGCCGTCTCTGCCCTGTCGACGGCATTGTCCTTCTCCAGCTTCATTCCCTGCATCTTCTTCTTGATGGCCTCCATTTTTTATTCGGTTGTTTTTTCGGACTTCGAAAGAGAGAGAATGAGAAAACTTTCGAAAATCGAAAGATAGCAGGAGAGAGAACCCGGCAGACGCCGCACCAGCCAAAGATCCAAGAG